ACTCATGTAATGGTACAAGAACAAGATCCCAATGATGAATGTAACTGTATTTTCTACTGAAAATGTACCAATAAAGTTAATGGAGAAAAATAAAATAAAAAAAATTTTTTAAAAAGGCTAAACAGCTGCGGTGGCACATGCCTGTGTCTCAGCACTCAGAAGGCTGAGGCAGGAAGATCGAGGTCAGCCTAGGGTACACAGTGAGTTCAAGGCCAGCCTGGACTACATAGTGAGACCTTGTTCTCAAAAAAAAAAAAAATGCTAGAGGCTAAAGATATAACAAAAACTATGTATGTAGATGAAAGCTCTTAGCAGCATTAATCTTTTTTTTCTTGGTACCAGGGACTGAACTCAGGTCCTTGCACTTGCGAGGCAAGGAGCGGAACCACTGAGCTAAATCCCCAGCCCTAGCAGCACTATTCTTAACAGCCAAGAAGCAGAAACCCAAACATCTTTCCACTGATGAATGAACAAAACGTGGTAAATCTGTACAGTGAAGTATTATTCTGCCATAAAAAGACTGAATTACTGACACCTGTTACAATATAGATTTTAAAAACATTATAAGTCAAAGAACCCAGATAGAGAGTCACATGATCTCATCCATGCAAAATGTCCAAAATAGGGACATACATAGAAACAGAAAGTACACTAATGCTTTCTAGGGGCTGGGAGATATGAAAAGAGAGTGGTTGCTAATGGGTATGTTTCTTTTGGAACCATGAAAATATTCTGGATTTAGGAGTGATAAATGAATCATGTGAACACTATAAAAAACACTGAAATGCCAGGGATTTAGCTCAGTGGTTCTGCTGCCTGTCTTGCAAGCACAAGGTCCCGAGTTCGATCCCTGGTACCCAAAAAAAACAGAAGAAACACTGAATTATGTTTGAGTAGATTTCACGGTATATAAAGTCTATTTAAATTTTTTAAAAAGTACATGATACTTTAATAAATCAGTAAATAAAAAGAAAATAGGAAAAACATAAATTTGGGGGCTTTTTTCTGGGGGGCCCTTTTTGAGGCAGGGTCTTGCTATGTAGCTCAGGCTGGCCTTGAACTGAGTGCTGGGATTATGGGCATGTATCACAACACCCAGTGGGCAAACCTATCTATAATTAAAGGTACAAGAAAGTTTATAGGAAAAGGCATGGATCTTTCTCTTCTTACCTACTTTAAAAAATTAAAAGTACAAAGCGGATACATTTTAAAATTTCTTGTCTTGATCACAAAGCTCTTCTGGTTACGGAGACAGTGGTAGCTGGAGATGGGCTCACTTCCCTTATGACACTCAACTTTGCAAAGATTTAGAGCATTATATTTAGTCCATCTAGTTTCCGTGAGAGAGAACTGAGCTGAATATTGTAGTAGTCCTACAAAGTAGGCTATCACATTACAGCCTTCTCTATCTGTAAGATTCTTAACCACTGGATCATTTTATCCTCAGTACCCTAGGACTTTAGCATACAGTATGCTAAAGTCTTACTAAAGGGCTTACTAAAATTTAATGACAATACAGTATGCTAAAGTCTTACTAAGGGCTTACTAAAATTTAATGACTCCTTTAATAGTATGTGTACCTCTGGTTACCCAAAGACTCAATACCATACCTATCTGGACCTACAATCCTGAAATATCTCCTGGTATTATTATCATAATGTTTTTAAAATCTGTATTGTAGCAGGTGTCAGTAATTCAGTCCTGGTATTACTATGGACAGTGAAAAGAGATCAAACAGAATCAGGAATCTGGGCTTTAAAATTCAACTTTTCCAACTACTGTGTTGCTCTGAGAGAATCACTAGCCTCTCTTACTCTGATCATAAAATGGGCTATTATATATCTATCAAGTGATTTCAAGCTTAAATGGATGCAGCATTTTGTAAATTACAAGCTTTTAACTTAGAATGTGACTTTTTAATTTATATTTTCAATATTTCCATTAGATAGAGTCCAGTCCTCTAAGCACCAATATTACAACCATTCCCTTAGCCAAAAAAGATCTCTCCTAATTCCAGGGAAGCAGTCAGGTGAAGAGTGATTAAGAGTATTTCACATGTCACTGATTTTCAAACAATTCTGAAGTTACAGAAATATCATTTAGACTCTTAAATAAACCCATTAAATATACAAAAATACTAAACTGCAGCCACAGGAAGAATGCCAAGGCTCTCACTATCTCAGCTCCCACGACGACCTGTGACTCCTGTGAAATTCATACAATGCAGGAAGTAATTCGGTTAACCCCTAAACATTATATTTAGAGTATTTAAAAAGAAAATTCTTTTAATTCAAATAAACTGGAAATTCAAAAAACAATGAAGACAACTGTTCTCTGTGAAATGTCACAGTTAAAAGGGACAGGAAGTCAGAGGCTTCATGCTCCATCTACTCGTCTTTACTATATTTCTCCTTTTAGTACAAGCCCCAAAGTACCTGTTATGGCTTGTGTCTAGATCCCCCCTCCCCCAGCTCATGCAGTCAGAGGTGGCTGGATGCAGTGTGTGTGATGCTTGGATTAAGTGTGTTATGTTGGCATCAAGGGTGTGTGATTACTAAATTAGTCCACTGATTGGTTTGGCATAGTTCTGGGAAGGCCCACCCTAAGGGCGTATAGCCTGGATAGAATATAAGGGACAGGAAGAAGGCAGCTGCTGCCACAAGCTGCTTGATGTTTTCACTGCCTTCTGCCCACCATGAACTGTTTTCCCCTCTGGATGCCCCTCTACCATGCCACCCTGCCTTGGAGCCAGTGGATCATAGACTGAAACTTCTACAAACTGTAAGCCGAAATAAACTTTTCCTTCTTTAACTTCAGGTGTGGGTGTTTTGTCTCAGCAATGAGAAAAGTAACTAAGATATTACCTGACCTTCCAACCCCATCCCTTCTCAGCAAAACTGATTTGCATGAGAGGCTGACTTACTCCTCCTTATGTATCTAAAAGAAGAATGCCAAAAAATAGACCCTATTTTTGTCCTGGGTATCCTTTCTGGCTCCAAACTCACACAGAAAATTAGCATGTTGGCAGGTGGTAGAAAGGAATGACCCTTTGTCAACAAAGCTAACAATCCATTATTGTACTTCTAGTTAGTCTCATAATATAGAATATTCCATTTCCTATAACTTTCAAATTTTAAGAATGCTAGTTCTAGCACAAGAACCTTTTGAAATTCTAGTACTCTATAAATTTCTTCTTCTTTTTGTTTGGGCGGGGGGAGGTTGAGACAGGGTCTCACTATGTAGTTCAGGCTGGACTTTGAACTCACTATGTAGCCTAGGCTGGCCTCAAACTCTCAGCAATTCTCCTGCCTCAACCTCCCGAGTGCTGGGATTATAGGCATGTGCCACCATGCCCAGCTGATTATGAATTTCAAAGAAATGTTGGCCCTGAATTAAAAAAAAAAAAAAAATCTGAAATGTATACTCTAACTTTGTAATTAACACAAGGTTTTAAATGACTCATTTAACTTAACACAAACCTGTATGGGTGGAATATCTGGCAAGGATGGAAGGTTTTCTGGATTAGTAACTGAGGGGATAAGCTCTATGGCTGTAACAGATGGGCTGGTGGGGCCTCGGTTTGCATTTGCCATAGTTGCTGTAGTAGGGCTTGTTGGGTTGATTGTGGTGTTGTGTACCGATACAACAGGAAAGGGTCCAGCATGCCCTGGGTTTGAGTGCTGTTAGGAAAGAACACATTATTGTCAGTTGACCTGTCAAGGAACTATACCTTTACAATAATTTTACTTTCGAAGCCATATGTAAGTGATCCCGTGACAGAAAAAAAAGTGGGCTCTCTCAACTGTATGCATCAGAGTTTATCCTATTCATTTTTCTATCCATTTTTGTATAGTATCTACGGAAAAACAGACTTGTCAATAATTTCAATCTATCACACTGATGATATCACCTTATTTCAGAAACAAGGACACATACAGGATAATCTGGAAGCCTCAAAATTTTCAAACAGCAAGTCAAGAAAGCCACTGTTCTGTCTACATACCTCTTGAACCCTTAGTTGTTTTTCTAATGGAAATAATTATGTAATGCAGCTTGATATGGAAAAAAACATGATATAGGAAAAAAACATATTGATATAGAAAAAAACAATGAATTCATAAAAAGGATATACAACATCAATTCTCAGTTCTAGCATTGTGTGACCTCAGGCAAATCACAAAATTAAGTAATTTAGAAATGCTGATAATGGTGCCTCATCTGTTTCATTGTGAGAGTTGTTATGGGCATCACTAAGGTCATATATAAATCTTTGGGATATTATGTAAATAATTTAAAATATCTGAAAACTAAAAATGCTAATAAATAACATTCAGTGATTTCTCTAGGAGCAGCCTTAATATCTAAGGAAAATAATCTAAGATGGTTGTTTAGTCTAAGTGTGTGCCTGGCCCTTGGTAATACTTAAAGACCTTCTTTCTTAAGGAAATTAACATCTAGATCCTCAACTTCCACATATACTCTGTTTGAAAAGGAATTTTGCTTAAAAATGTGCCACCACTTCTTGACAATTGCCCTTCTTCCATTTGACAAAAGCAAAGCATATCTCTGACCCACTCCTAATCTTATTCTAGATACAATGTCCCAGGATGGGAAAAGTATAGAGATAATCAAAGGTCCAAGCAGAAATAATACTGTTTTGAGAGCTGAGAAGTGACTGGTTCTGAAATGTGGATAATAAATGTTCAGGGTTTTAGTAATTAGTGAATTTTAAAAGACCTCATGAACCTATCACTCGTAAATAACTTTTTAAATAGTTCTGGCAGATCATTGTGAATTTTAGCTTACAATCTAGAAAATGTTCAAAGAATTGGGGAATACATCTGTAATAAAATTCTTTTAATTCCCAAATACAGGTTTCTCTGAACAAGTTGCCTAAACATCACATGAAAACAAAACTAGTAATACAAAACAATGTTGGATTCTTACTCTAACAGTATACAAACATACAATGAAAAGGAGAGGGTAAAAAACTTCATCCCTAGAAATGTAAATCCAAAGGAATTTGTTACTAATATTCTTAAATCTAATAAGCATATATTTTGTTTCAACAACTGTATAGGGATAATGTAAAAGTTTAATAGTCTTATTGTCACTGGAAGTTTAACAAAGAAATTTCACTGAAATACTTCTGCAAAAAATTATGAGGAAAAAAATTACAAGAGGGTAATTTATGTCTATCAAGTTTAAGTATGTAATAGTAAGATAAAATTCTGCATACGAAATAAAAGTAAAATTCAAAACCAGTGAGAAAAAAAATGTGTAAAATGTTAACCTTCAAAAGAGTTTGCTATTGGGCCGGGGATTTAGCTCAGTGGTTTCGCCGCCTGCTGCGCAAGTGCAAGGACCCGAGTTCGATCCCCAGTACCAAAAAAAAGAAAGAAAGAAAAAGAAAAAAGTGAGGGAATTCATATTTTCAAAAGTTGTTCTGGAGGTATGTGGACCACAAAGCTGAAGGATCACTGCTCTAAGATAGGATTTTTCTCAACTTTTAACATGCACAGTGATCTGAGAAATTTGCTGAATACTCTCCACCTGAAAATTCTGATTTAATGGGTTATGGCTCAGAGCCTATTCCAATAAGGCCACTCACTCCACCTCAAATTGACCAGTGATTCTGACAGCCTTTAAAACATATTTTGAGAAATGCTATTCCACAAGTTAAAAAATGGAACTCTGAACTCTATCATTTTAAAACTGTAAATCCTCCATTAAAATTGCCTCATTTTACAATCATACCTGCTATACAAATATAATCTACCATCCAGGCAAAAATTATAAATATGTACCTAAATATAAACCTAAATATATACCTAAATATACTTCACGTTTGGGAAGAGTGCTAAGGGCATCATGCATGCTAGGCATATTCAACCACTGAGTTACACATTGAGCCTACATTTATTTTTGAAGTTAAGCATATCTACACTAAATGGAACAATACTTGAGTAGAGAAAAGAAATTATAAACAGCTAGCTCTTTACTTTCAAAGACTTCATATGTTAGAATCAAAAAGTCACATTAAGAGCAAAAGAACAATACCAGGAAATTAAAGTTCTAATCTTGATTATATTATTATCTCTTATGACTGTTAAGTACTTCAAAAGTTTCTTAGATTGTTTTTCACTTTTGGAAGTGAATGAGTTGGATTACATCAAAGATTCTTAACCTACAGTATGTGATGGATTTAAATGGATCAAAAAAGGCTCTTAAAATTCAGTACAAAATTTCAAGTACAGTGTGCATATGTATTTTCCTGGGACAAGAGCATACACAATCAAATTCTCAAACATATCAATGACCTGCCCCCATCAACTGAATAAGAAAAACAATGTCTTTTAGTTTTAAAATTGTATGACTCTTACAAATGTAACTCTAGGCATACTTGTCTTTGGAGGTGTGGCTGCATCATGGAATATTGAGGGCCGCTGTGCCTGGGTATCCCTGGGATTCTGGCAGCATTCTGAGCCAGTCTCATTTGATGGGCTTGAAAAGCTCCACAGTTCATGTTTCCTCTTTGCATTGTTTGCACACTGATCAATCTTGGAGGCTACAAAAAGTAGAAATTATAATTTATATAATAATTTTTTTAGATTTATCTTTCAATTAGAAAATGTTATAGTAAAAATAATTCAGTCAGAATACAAGCATGTAGGGCCAGGATTTAGCTCAGTGGCACCTCCCCTGCCTTGCAAGTGCAAGGTCCTGAGTTCAATCCCTAGTACCGCAAAAAAAAAAAAAAAATACAAGCATGTAAAGTAAAAGGTATTAAGTCATTGTTGTCTTCTCTAGTCAATCCCCAAAGGACTGATAATTACTAGTTTGTGTATCACTCTGAAATTTCCCAATCCTCTCTCTCAGTATGTATGTATTTAAAGCATATCAACATGAATTTACTTCACCCTGGAGTAATACTTGTGATCAGGAGGGACAGAAAGCAGAAGAACCACAAGGATAGGAATGATCTAAAGAACAGATCAGATCTTAGGCAAAAATAATCTGGTTCTCTGGTCCACAATGATCTTGTGGAGTGATGAGAACTTCAGTACTTCCAGCATAGTAGTGAATTAATTTTATTTCCCAAGACAAGTTATTTACTTACTTATACCACCTTTCTTCTTCACACTTTCGTCACATCCCTATCACAACCAGTGCAAATGAACTCTGATCTTTGAATTCTATTCCTGCTGGTAACTCTGAATGTGTAATTCATCTATATGGGAGAGTTTATAAATCTTCATAATCTGTATCAATAATGTAGTGACACAATACTGACCTGCTGCTGTAACATCTGAGGGGCTGCTTGTCTAGGGTGCTGCTGTGTTGTTGTTGTTGTAGTCGGTACAGGAGCTGGTGGTTGCTGCATCCTCATTTGTTGCAACTGCTGATGTTTCTGTGCATATACTTGTTGTTGCATGTGTTGAAGTCGAAGCTGTGCTAAATTAATCTGTCCAGGGGTTTTACTAATGTGGTTTGTCCCTGGAGGAACTTGTCCAACTACAACATTAGGAGTATAACCAGGAGCTGGTTTACTCTCTATTACTAGATTACCTGAAGATTTAAAAATAAGAAAGATTTGCATATAACCAACTAAACTGTTTACTTCATAAATTAGTCATTGTATTTTCCTCCTTCAGCACCTCAAAGTTTCCAACAGTACAGCAGGGACAGGAGCTAAGTTTAAAGGTGATGATGATCAAAAACCTAATATGTTCCCAAGTCAAAATAAAAATGACTTTTGATTATCTGCTCTTATCTTGTATTTATACAGGTGTGCAGAAAATTAAAGATGTGAAAAAGATATTATTAGAGGGTGCACAGCTAATCAATCTAAATCAATTCTCCCATATCAAGACTCATAGATACTCAAGATTGCTAATACTGGTTCCATCTGTTTTTGAATTGCCAAAATATACAGGGCAGAGAACTACTTTGCTACAAAACTGTCTTCTGTGGAAATACTAAATGGTTTAATCCATTCATGTCTTTAGAAGTGACCAATTTTTCCTTTGGGTCAGAGAGGATATATTTTAGGAAGGTGTGATTTAAGGCAGAGGTTGGAAGGCCATGTAAGATCTGTCAGTCTTTGATTTTGTTTTTTTGTTTATTTGTTTTTTTGGTACTGGAGTTTGAACTCAGGACCTTGCGCTTTCGAGGCAGGCGGTGGAACCACTGAGCTAAATCCCCGGCCCTAATTTTGTTGTTTTTACAGCTCTTTGAAAATGTAAAACTCACTCTTGGCTACTATGGCACATAAAAGCTGTAGATCTAAGGCTATAGTCAAATGAATAGGATTTTTTTTTTTTACCCAAAGATTACTTTTTTCTTTTTTAAGGTCACACAATTGATACTTTCACAGTTCCCAGTGTTGAGGACTTTATTATTTTGAAAGTGAACTTACTGAATCCACAGACAGCTTTGTCAGGAAATTTCTTTGTGCTATTTTAAGACTCAAGGTCTTGGGCTGGGGAATTAGCTCAGTGGTGCTGTGTCTGCCTCACAAGCACAAGATCCTGAGTTCAATCCCTGGTACCAGGGGAGGGGGAGGGAGTCAGGGTATAACTATGTTGCCCAGGGTGGCTTTGAACTCTTAGGCTCAAGTAATCCTTTTGGTTTAGCCTCCCAAGTAGACAGGGATACAAGCATGGGTCACCATTCTTGATTTTTTAAAAAATCTTTTTTAGGTTCACAATGAGGAATAACAAAAGAAAAGTCCATTTCTCATCCATGTGAAAAATGTTGCTTTTATCATTAAAGAATTTGTCAAGCGGGCCAGGGATTTAGCTCAGTGGTTCTGGCGCCTGCCTCACAAGCACAAGGTCCCGAGTTCGATGGCCGGTACCAAAAAAGAATTTGTCAAGACGTGACTCCTGGACATATCAGCTTCCTGAAGGTCCTCCATTAGTGCACCATTTGGCATAATTAAACTACTAAGCCCAATGATTAGAATGAATAATCGATAATGCAAAATAGGAAGAAAAGGTCCAAAGGGGTAGGGGTAGTGGAAGGGGCAGGGGAAAGGAAAGAAGGGAAAGGAAAAATGATGAGAAATGGAAAAAATGGAAATAAAGTCTTTGTAAATAGGGAAGGGTGGAGGGGGTGAAGGGAGGGCTAGGATTGGGGAAAAAATAAGAACCAAGATGCATTATGTAAAGGTACAGTTCCCAATGAGAAATGTAATTGTGTTGTATACCTAAAATGTACCAATAAAAGAATTTAACAACAACAACAAAAAAAAAAACTACTAAGCATCTAAGAAACTCTCCCAGAGAATGAAGAATCATTTGTTAAGTGTTTGTCTGTTTACTTTAGGAAGGTTTTGTTTTGTTTTTTGAGACACAGCATCACTGTGAAGCCTAGGCTAGCTTCAAACTCTCGATCTTCCTCCCTCAGACTCCAAAGTGCTGGGATTAATGTATATGCCATTTGCTACAACTTCAATATATGAAAGTCAATATTAATTTGAAAAGATATAAAAGGAAAAACTAGAAATGATACATACTATAGAACACTATATAGGGGCTGAGGGCCCTGTATAGTTGAAGGCCCTAACTTCAATCCCCAGCACAAAAACAACACAATACTGTAAACTTTAAACATTGTTAAAATGCAGTGACATAACAAAAACATAACTACAGCAAGTTTTTAATGACTTATTTTCCAAGTCATTCACATTTCCTTTCATTTCATTTCGTTTTTGCAATACTACTAGTGGTCACACCCAGGGATGCTCTATCACTGAGCTACATTCAAAGCCTTTTTCATTTTGAGACAGTCCCACTAAATTATCCAGGTGGGACTCAAAACTTGCAATCCTCTTGACTTAGCCTCTTTCAGTGCTGGCATTACAGGAATGTGCCTCCACATCTGGCTATTCACACTTTAAAGTTAAAAACTTTGGCCAGGTGTAATCCCAGCAATCTGGAGATAGGAGGGATTGCTTCGAGTTCAAGGCCAGTTTGGGCTACACAGTGAGTTCAAGCCAGTCTGAACTATATACTTGAACTACATAGTGAGGTCCTGTCTCAAAAAACAAAAATCAAAACAGTTTAAAAACTATTTAAAATTTGATTTAGATGTTTTCTCAATTCAGTGTTCTACAATACATTAATATAACTATTTCTCACCTAAATTGACTACATTCTTTGCCCAGAAGGTGGGATCACAATGGAAACGTATTGCTCCATTAGCAGCAGGGACAGGATCACACCGAGCTTTCAAAATATGACGCAACTGAAAAGTAATCTTAAAGGGAAAAAAAGTCATGTTAGCCTTAATGCTAAATACCAACTGAGAAAGCATACAAAATACAGATATTTTAAAAGCTCAAATAGCCCCTCTGGGTCAAGTCTCAGATGAAACAGTGCTAATGTGTAAATCGGCAATGAATAAAATGCATATTCTTGAATTTGTCATTTCTGATAATAAACTGCAGTAAGATACTAGGTACCTTCAAAAGAGCACATACAGATTACGTGATTTCCTTTACATAAAATTCTAGAAAATGACAGCATAAGTTCTAGAAAATGTCAGATCAGATTAACGGTTGCCTAGGGTCAAGGGTATAGGGAAATTTGGGGGCTGATAATAAATTTCCTGTATCTTGACAACTGGGCAGTAATAATTGCCAAATGTCAATAATATAAGGTATTATTGACCTTATTAAGATAAGGTCAATTAAAGAAAAATAAAGATAATATGTGACTCACCAGTCGCTTGCTGTACAGTAGTGCGGTGCTGCTGCCACTTGCAATGGCCCAGTTTGTAAAGTTCATAACATGTTTCACCTGCCGGGAGAGACCTGTGATGTCATTCTGTTGCTGTAGTAGCTTCATCTGTCTTTCTTTTGTAACATTCTGAAACAGAGCAAAAGCTCCACTCAAAAATGCTGTATGAAAAAATAACGTACACTAGTTCATGATTATTTAATAAGCCTATGACCAATCAAGGGGAAAAATTACTAATAAAAGTAGAACTAAAACTTAGTTCTCTAAGCTATAATATTCCACATACAGGAATTAATGTTAGGTATCTTTTTCTTTCAGCACATAAAATATCTGTTAAAAACAGTGTCTTCCTATTTGATTAATCTAATGTGGCACTATGAGCTGACCTTTAGTAATAATTTTATATAATCTTAACTCACTATACTTCCTAGGCCAATGAAAAATATTGTATAACCAGTGCCATCTACTGGTGTGGCATGAGACTGAAGCTAGTATTTTTCTTAAATGCCTAAAACAAAACAAAAAAGATAAAACTCCAGAGTTTTAATAGTAAAATGAAGATAACTTTTTATATAACAAAGTTCATAAAAAGGAATAAGGATTGATCAAACCAGAAAAACCAATTTTGAGAAAATGCTGCAAAGGAAAAGTAAGATGTTTAACAGGAACCAAAGCTACCAGAAGGAATGGGTAATAGCCTATGCACTCTGACATTTAGCATGCTGAACAACCTACCTACTTTGTTAAACACTCTTCCCAAAATCACTCCATCTAGTTTACTGGACAGTACATTTCCCAAGGAACCAAGCTGCTCATTTTATAACATAATCAATGGGTAATGGTGCTTAACTGACAGCATGTACAACTTCACTGGAGATCATCCCTTTCGCAAAGCTTAGGAAAACCTCTCTTTTACAAAGTTTAAGAAGCACATTACACTACAAAAAATGTTTTAAATGTTTTAAAAATTAGGAGTATAACAGCACACAGTATTTATCATTATGTAGTTACTAGTTACCTACACTTAAGCCGTAAGAGGAAACTTTTAATTCTGAAGCTCTTGCAATGGTTTTTACAAATTTTATTTTAGATATATGACTAAGATGTATTTATAGTAAATTAGAATGTATCAAAAATAGTTACTGCTAAGTGCTCTCCATTCACATGGTACTTTTGGGGGAAAAAAACCTACTAAGATTAAAAGCAACTTGCTAGATGCATAACAGGAAAGAGACCCCCAACTTTAATGATATGTGCAAGAATATTTTTAATATCACAATTGTGTCTAACAGAAAGATGTATTTAAGACAGAAATTCAGAGATAATTTAGCTTACATAATTTCATTCACATGTAAGTACATGCCTAATATTTTTAAAGGAGTCTACATATTCTATGTATTTGGAAGTTAAATACTGTAGTCAAATACATAGTTTAAATCATTACTATTCAATGATGCAGAAAACATACAACTTTTAATATATTTCACATATAAAATTTGTTGAGAAATCAACTGTGGGTGGTAAAGATGAGTCTAATTAAAAATTAATTTGGATTTCAAACTGGCTAGATCCTCAACTAAAAATTTAGAACTATATATTAATCTAAAATATGCAATACAAATATCTAATACCATAAAATTATCGGTAAGTTTTTAAGGTTTACAAATTTCAAAATGCGCAGCATTTTTTGCACAACTATGGAAATATTTTTAAAATAAGGTGAAACACAAATGGCTTAAAGCAGAAGCCTTTTATGTCCTTGTTATGATGAGAAATGTCATGGCCTGCTTTGTCTTCATTTACATCACATTTTAGTAATTTTTTCATTCCTAAGAGGACATCACTATTTCCTAATGTATACAGCTTTAAGTGTTATATCAGGTTGCAAAGTAACTAACTAGAAAAAAGGTCTCTTTCCCCATAGTAAATGGAAAAAAAACCCCCAAAAAAATCTATTTTAAAATTTTGCTTTATTTCCATAACCCCAACCCATTTAAAAGAGCTTTCAATAAACATTAAAAACAGCTGAAGAGCAAGAGAAGCAGTTTTTGTTTTATTTTGGCTTTGAACCATACCTCTAGCTGCTGTAAGAGAGATTTTCCTTTCTTATTAATTTCATTGATAAGGGTGAAAATGGCCACTTTAATTTCCTGTTCTACTCGTTTGTTAGTCTCATTTACTTCTTTTATCCTGAATAAGAGAAATGCATCATTAGGTTATCAACTTATCCTATGTCTCTTGAGTCATCAATTGTTACAGAAATTCATCCAACTGGGCATTTAACCAAGTATTTAAGTTAAAACTCTGTCAAAGTGTACAACTTGTATTTTGCAGACCAAACCACTTAATTTGGTCCTAACAAGTTATGTATAGAGACAAAGAATGAATATTTAGTAATTTTAAATTAAGCTCATATAGGCCAGTCAATTAGGTTGGCGAACAATCTCTTTAAGTCATTATAACATGAATGTAACATATAAACATCTACCACCAAAGACTGCTGGTCAATTCTGGCACAATGGGTCTGTTTAATCTTGATGCTTTCCACCAACAATGTCCCAACCAATAATTATTACCTTTTCAGAGGGCAGGAATTAAAATTTAGAAGCATTCATTTTCACTTAACACTTAACCATTTCAAATGTGGGTTCTAATATACTCCTTCCACAATTTCTTCTCAAAATGATCTCCTACTGCATATACTAAAAGGCATAAGACATTTTGAATCTTTTTTTTTTTTTGCAGGGAGAGGGGAAGGTGCAGTATACTGAGGCTTGAGCCTAGGGCTCTCACAGGTTAAGTACATGCTCTACCATTGAGGTACATTCCCAAACACCTCCGAGCCTCTTAACTCCATTTTAAAAATAGCTGTTGTATGTTTTAGATATAAATATAAGCATCCACTGTGGTTATGAAAGTGTGGGTTGCAAATATGAAGTGGCTGATACCTTGATATTTATAAAATGGGACATGGGGAATATTCAACCAATAGAAATACCTAAAATGTCAACAAATAATCATAACAGGTAATCTTCACTTTTTTATATATAAACTGCTTTTCGTGTGCAAAATTCAGATTTGAACAACTTTAATTCACTCTAAGCAATCGTAAGCAGTCTTTCCACCTTTGTGTATCACTGTCATCTTGGACAGTTATTTGAATTTCTTCCTTTTGTCCTTTTTTTTGGCGGGGCGGGCAATACTGCAATACTGGGGATTGAATCCAGGACCTTCACACTGAGCTACATTCCCACCTTTTTTAAAAATTTGAGACAGCGTCTTGCTAAGTTGCTTGAACTTCCAAGCCTCCTTCCTCACATTCCTAGAATCTTGGGTGTAAAGGCATGTGCCACCACACCCAGCTTGATACTTTTACTGAATACTGTCCTTATTAAAGTGAACAGAAGATATTTTTGTTTTTTAAAAAAGGTACTAGGGCTGGGGATTTAGCTCAGTGGTTCCGGCACCTGCCACACAAGCACAAGGTCCCAAGGTTTGATCCCCCGTACCAAAAAAAAAAGGAATAAAAAAAAGTACTAATTACTTGTGGTAAGAAATATATAGGTCTCCAACAAAAAATGAGCCACAGTTGGAAATCATTAAGCATGCTGAAAGCAGAGAATAATTAGCTTCAGATTTACTGGACTTAAATCAACTGTATGTTCAAATTGTGAAGGAAGAAAAAACTGTACATTAAAAAATAATGGACCTGGTACTCAGAAGGCGGAGGGAGGAGGACCGCTCCAAGTTGGTGGCCAGCCTAGGCTACACAGTGAGTTCAAGGCCACCCTAGACTACACAGGGAGACCCGGTCTCAAAACACCAAAAGGAGGAAAAAGGGGTGAAAGGATAACAGAGGGCTGGTGTGTGTGCAGCTCAGTGGTATAGTACAGTACTTGCCTGACATGGGTGAGGCCCTGGGTGCAACACTCAGCAATCACCCTCTGCCACCAAAACAGAGAGGTCATTGAATAATTGTCTAAAGTGGAAGATACTAGAGATTTTAATACTTTTTAAACAGTTTTCTGGAGATTAAAGCTTCCCCAAAGCTTTAGAATCTTAGATAAACCCTTTGTCCTATTTCTGATTCAGCAGATTAATGCAGATTCAGCAACATACAAGGGGTGATCAAAATATACATCAAAATATAAATTAAAACTTACTATAGTAAGAGACATTGCCATTAATCACCCTCAAAATACTCCCCCTCGCTTCAAACACACTTATCCCATCATTCTTGCCACTTTCTGAAACAGTTCTCAAAGTCCTCTTTGATGAGTGTCTCTATGAGATATGATAAAAGAAAAAAAAAAAGGTAAATGTGCTTCTGAGTGTCATCCCATGAAAAGCCAGGTCCATAAAAACATTACAATGTGTTCTCATTCACCTTATTCACCAGATCTGGCACTGTAGAACTTCTGGCTTTTCCCTAAAGTCAAAATGGTCATGAAAGATAATCACTGTGAATTGATTCAGGATACTGAGGCGGCCAGGGCAACACAATTACGAAGACAGAAAAGACGACTTCCAGAACTGCTTCAGAAAGTGACAGAATGAGGGATAAGCGTGTTCTAAGCAAGGGAGAGTATTCTGAAGGTGATTAATGGTAATGGGTAATTAATTTTTTAAAAATTTAAACATTCTCCATATTTTCAACTATACCTCACATGTACAGAATATATTAAAAAATGCAACATACATACAAAAACATAAGCTTAAAACTCGTAACTTCTATATGAATGAAGTGCCTCTGAAAGGGACATCTAACTATAATTTGTGAGAAGACAGTTATCTTCTCCAACATCAACCACAACATATCAAGTACTTTAGCCTAAAACATCCTGACATTTCAAAAAACCAACCATCAAGGAACAGCATGTGTGTGTGTGTGTGTGTGTGTGTGTGTGTGTGTGTGACTATCTACAGGGGCCTTTTTCTTTTGCTATCACTTATGATGAAAAGTTTGAGCATCTGTAAAACACTATTTTAATTTACTCAATTTTTGAGATGTTAAAATATATCAAATGTGATATATTATATGCCATTTTAATCGTCACAAATTAGTGTTAATATTTAAGTGGAAATCCCAATATCTGTGATATCTATACTTCCCAAAAAGCACGTAGTACCCCTATTCATACCTCCGGGAATTTCCAGTTTTTATTATGCCAGCTCCAAGTGTTTGTCTTTCTAGCGTAAGACCTCTAATCTTGTTTTTTTTGGTACCGGGGATTGATCTTGGGTCCTTGCGCTTGCGCAGCAGGCGGCAAAACCACTGAGCTAAATCCCCGGCCCTCTAACCTGGTTAATCTACTGTTTCATGGAACTTATTTCCACTTTCCCTACAAATTAATTTATACAGAAATGTACCAAAATTTTAAGTAATAATAATGGTAGAATAATAAAATAGCAGCAGCTAATATATGAGGGCATAGTATGCTCAGAAACTATATTATGTATTCATATTATAAGGTTACTTATAAGTACAGCTTTAATGCTTGTTTGAGAGATGAGAAAATAAATGTGTCTACTACTTTTTTTTTTTTTTTGTAGTGCTAGAGACTGAACTAGGGGTACTCCACAACTAAGCTATAACTCTGGCCCTTTTTAAATTTATTTTGAGGCAAGATCTCCCCAAGCCAGCTTGGCTTCAAATTTGTGATCCTACTACATCAGCCTCCAAAGTAGCTGGGATTACAGGCATGCATCACCATGCCCAAGTGTCCACTATTCTTGATACTCTCTTCTCTATACTGTATTTCTGACACAATCTCTACTTTAAATTTTATAATTCAACTCTCTTCATAGCAATTTCTTTTTCCAAATTTAAGGCTTACACAGATTAGTCTTATTAATTATGTAACAGTCAAGGATGTATCCTGAAAGTATATAAAAATTAGGCCAATTAAATTTTGCTTAATTAACAAATAATCCCAAACTCAAGTTATACCACTTCCCTTTTAAAAATTAAATTTTTATATATATGCTTAATATAGTAGGAAAACAATTTTAAACAGGATCCACTCCTCTTTAATAATCCCAGTGTGAAATTATGGTTTTAAGGCAACAAACTTACCTATTCTGCACCTGAGTAGCTGCAAAATGAACATAATTCTTCTTTTCAAGAAGCTTAGCCAACAGATTCTCAATTGCACCTTTCTGATTTTGAAAAGCTTCTTCTAAAAACTGGTACCTTAAAATTAAAACAAAAACTGCATTTAAAACAGAATTTACAATTAAAATTTGGGAAATCAAGAAGAGTTATACAATTCAATCTTTTTTAAAATTAGTATATATTTGCAGTATATAACATTTATATTCCTCAATCTTGAAACCTTAAATAATCAACTCTATATGCTGGCTACCTGTGTATTACTACACCTTAATAGCAATTTTTTTTTTTTGTACCAGGGATCGAACTTGGGTCCTTCTGCTTACGAGGCAGGCTGCGGAACCACTGAGCTAAATCCCCAGCCCCTTAATAGCAATTTTTAACTGGCAATTCCTTCCCCCAATACTGAAAAATCAGTAGGAAAGAAAAAACTTACCAAAAAGTATTTGAGTACACGCTAAAGTTTTGATTCAAGATCACATTTTTTAAAAAATCCAAATATTTGAATAAGTTAAATACATTTCAAATCATAAAATGTCACCATACTATACAAAATAGTATCAAAGGAAGGAAAAATCATAGTTCCAACATCACAAAAATCACTGCTACCATTTTAATGTAATATATGTGTGTGCAGCTTTTATTTATTAATTTTGTGGTGCTGGGGGTTAAACCCAAAGCCTCACACATGCTAACATTCTACTACTTACCTACATTCTCAATGCTAATTATGCACTTTTAAATGCAATTGTAATCACAACAGAGATGCACTTTTGGATATGACTTTTATTTATCGTCATTATAATCATACATCAAATTTTTCAGTTTTAGATGCCATATATTACAAAACCCTCCAAAACTGTTATATAAAGACACCACCAACACCACTTTTACTGTAACTCTGTCAACATGAGTGATACGTTCAAAATTCCTCTATTAGTGAAAATCTAGACAACATTAAAGTCTAGAGTTCCTTGGTTACCAGGAAGCTAGAATAGTTTTCTTTAGTTTCATTTACTTTTGGTAAATTATTCATGAAACCAACAAATTATTTTTGAGTTTCTTCTACATGCTTTCCATGTGAGTAAATGGCATATAGTCTAATAATACAAAGGGAAAATATGAAGATATCAAACTGTGACAAAAGCTATGATGGAGGTATATATAATAACCTCTAACAGAACCTAGTGCCTAAATTGACCTCAATGCCAAAGAAAGCTTTGTGGATGGATAGGCAGAATGGCATCCTCTGCTAAGTGCAGAGACATGTTTTTTTGGGGTTTTTTGTTACTGGGGATTGAACTCAGGACCTTGCATTTGCAAGGCGGACGTGGTGCCACTGAGCTAAATACCCAGCCCACTGCATAGACATGTTTAATGCACCATGAAGACTTCAATATGGCCAAAGAGAAATGTGCAAAGGTCAGAATATGACACAATAACTGATATTTTTTTAAAATCCAGAGGCAGACTGTGAAGGGCCTGGGATACCATGCTACTTCTGCATTTTATTCTTTAAGTAATGGAATGCTCATGAGAAATTCTAAGCAGAATGTGAAAAGTAGATTTACATTCATGAAAAATAACCAAACAGAAATTTAAAAGACCTAAAGAAGAGGGCAGAAAAGGGAAGACCAGTTAGAACTTTAAGACAGGCAGGCACTCAGATGAGACACGGTACTAGTTAGCATAGCCAAACATGCTGGAACAACTGACTTCATCAAAGAGATCAGAAGCTTTGGTGATCTGGGAAGTTGTGTCAGGTACGGCAAGATTCTACGTACAACATACCAGTAATGCCCAGCTAAAGCAGTCAAGAAAATGTCACTAGCCTGACATGGTGCTGTATGCCTTTAATTCCAGCACTCAGGAGGCTGAGACAGAAGGAGTGAAAATTCAAAATCACCCTGCACTACATTATCAAGTTCAAGGCCAGCCTGGACTACATAGCAAAATTGTCTCCAAAACTAAAACAAAAAGTCACTGAGAATGAGAAGTTTCAGGTTCTAACAAATTATAAATTGTCTTTGTAGAAAATGAAAAACTAAAAGCAAAGGCAGAAAACTGAGATAAGAAAGACTGAGTATCTAGATAGCTGTGTCTTAAGTGAAAGTCTCATCTAGGGTAGACAAAGAGGAAGTGCTATGAAATCAACACGAAGGAAAGTTTGTTAACACAATGAGAAACTTGCTTCATGGTAGGATTCATCAGCCAGGCGTGATGGCACATGCCTGTAGTCCCAGCACTCGGGAGGCTGAGACAGGAGGATCACTGTGAGTTTGGGGCCAGCCTGAACTACAAAGGGAGACCCTGCCTCAAAAAAAAAAAAGAAAAGTAACAATCACATTTGTCTCTGTTCATTTGAATTATAACTGTGACTAAAACAAAAATACTCATAGGAGTTTGAAAAACAAAGGAACACTATGAAAGCAGTCCTGATTACTCTAATGGCTTATAGAATAAACTTACAAAAAGTTTCCTTTAATCAAAATTACAATTACTTCAGAAATGGTGAGAAAAAAATCAATAAATGGATTAAGTATAAATTTGATTACTGCTAACACTTGAAAGCAATTTCTTAGATTTTAATCTTGCATTATGAAGCAGTGATTCTTAATATGGGCTTCTTAATCACAACGAGCTATTTTCAGTAGTATTTCAAAATATTTAAATAAATTTATGTAAGGCCAGGGATTCAGTTTAGTGGTGCCACCTCCTGCCTCAGAAGCACAAGGTCCTAAGTTTGATCCCCAGTACCAAAAAAAAAATTATACTATAATTAAATAAATTTATGTATGCCTAGGATTTAGTTTAGGACAGTCTGAGTAAAACTTTCTATGCTTTAAGCTAGAATTACTCAAACTCAGTATAATAAATATACCACTGGTCATCTGGTTTTGATCAGAATTAATCAGCATGCTTGCGTGCTTTTTATTTACTGAGAAATAAATAATATTTAATGCCATTTACTAAGATATTTTTGAAAATATGGTGCTTAGGAATAAAGAATGGAGGTTAATAATAAAACGGTGGGGGTTTTTTTTGTTGTTTTTTTGTGGGGTTTTTTTTGGTACCGGAGATTGAACTCAGGACCTTGCACTTGCAAGGCAGGCTCCAGAAACTGAGCTAAATCCCTGGCCCTAAAATGGTAGTTTCTTAAAGGCTGAGACTCACTCACCTAATAACTTTAAACTTTAAAATGCTCATTTGGTCTTACTAAGTCCTGAATATTACTACTCCACCTGCCAAGTAAGTACAGTGTTATTCTCTGTTGTCTCTGTGTAATAATGATTTGATTCTGGAGTATGTAGGAAAATATGTTATTATAACTTGTAACCAAACTGACTATCTAGGGAAACGTTTTTTAAAAAAATAGCTCAGTTTCATTTTTCTTACGTATTCTATTTTTTAAACTAAAAAAATTTCGAGTATATATTCAAGGTTTAATTCCACTAACCTGTCGTCTGCTTTCAAAAATTATCTATTTATAGCCAATTTTATCTACACATTTACCGACTCTCCATCCTACATTACAACAAAGAAAATTCCAAACGGCACTCTTTAAGCATTTATGTATCTATAAAGAGCAAGCTAGCCTTTTTTGAGAATTTAGGGGAATGCGGGGCATCCAACCCAGTGCTTCATACATGCTAGGTAATCACTCTACCACTGAGCTACACCACAGCCTCACTCACAGAATCTCTAGAAACGCTTCTTATTTACCTTTAAAGGAGTTACAAAAATTAAACTGATCAAAACACATGAAGCACTTAAGGCAATAAGACAGGTTTAAGGCTTGTTATCACTGTTATTCTTTGCAGGAATTTTAAGGAATTTACAGTGAAACAACAACAACAACAAACCTTCAACAATAACAAAAAGTCTACTATGTACACAAAGACCTCATGAGAGGTTTTTTTGAGGGGAAAAAAAAGACTTTTAAAAAAGCTATTTTGCTTATTTAAGATTCCATATGGAGTTCAAGTAGAGCAAAAATCAACATTTCAAGATGGCTAAACACCGGACAGAAGAAAAGATGGTAGAATTTGAAGCTTTTTCACTCCTTGACAATGATGTTGATGGAACTGTAACAACAAAGTAACTGGGAGCTGTAATAAGGTCTGCCCCGCAGAATCCCATAGAGACAAGATACAGGAAAGTTAATACCTCCCGATAATGAAGTATATGGTGATGGTTAACAGTACAACTGACTTTGTGAAAATTCTGATGATGGCGAGAAAAGTGAAAGACACACACAAGCAGGAAGGAAGAAATTAGAGAAGCAGTCTGTGTAATTGATAAAGATGGCAATGCCCATATTAGATTAGTAGAACTTCACCAGATAACAAACCTTGGAATTGACAGATGATATGATTAGGGAAGTGGATACTGATAGTGATGGTTAAATACTACAAAGTGTCTGTACAAATGATGAAAAGTGAAGATGTTACACACAATATGTTAATTTTGTCCACAATTACTTGTCTTTTGTCTTTTGTAATAACGTAAAATTTTCTCCCCAAAGTCAAGCAAAATGCATGTACCGTAAATTAACACTTCATTCCTCCAGTTTGGCCCTTATATTACTGTCAATGTCCTGAAATCTTATTTTAGAAAACTGACCTGGGCATGGTGGCACACACCTGTAGTCCCAGCACTTGGGGTTGAGATAGGAGGATCACCGAGAGTTTGAGGCCAACGTGGGCTACACAGTGAGTTCAAGGCCAGCCCGCACTACATAGCAAGACCCAGTCTCAAAAAAACAAAAAAGTAAAAAAGGAAACTGATAGGAATAATATGTTGTATGTGGCTTACCATAGAGATAACCTAAGCCCCACTGCGTATCTAAACTTAAATGGAATTAGTCAAATGAGGAACATCTTGGCTTATATCTTTTTTTAAGTAGTTTTCTTTAGGAGCTGCCAGCATGCTATTCAGAAGTGTCGGATTATATCTTTCCAGTGACTACAGACAGTCCAACAACATGTACTTAAAAGCTGCACTATTGTAAAACACACATATTATACAGGTTCTCACACACTTTTTGGTTTTTTTGCACTGCTTGTCTTGTATCAGAAACT